ATGAACAGGGAATGGCATTCCCAGAGTGGACAGAGCCCCATGGAAATACGCACAAGGGTGGGAAAACCCAAACGCCTCCAGGAAACTGTCTTCTGCCTTTCTGCTCACCTGCAGGAGACAATTTAATGCCTCACACACACACATGAGAGGCAAGAAAGTGATGTATTACATTCTAGGAGAGGTGAATATGCATTAAAAAGTTTTATATGATCTATAGCCTGGGGTTGCAAATTGTAATACAAATTAGGATTCTAAAAATTATCTGATTAGGCACTTAAATAATTAGTAGCCAAATTAAATTGTCGCTCTCCTGAAGAAAACAGAAAAGACTCATAAACAGTTTTTGAATAGCTTTTCTTCACAGTAAAGAAAAAGGCTCTTTATTTAGTGCAGCTTTTTGGAGATGAGTTGAACTTGGTATCTGTGGAAAACTGTTCACCAATAATGTGCTGGAATGATGTTCGCTTCCCAAGTGTTCAATTTTGAACAAAATTATTTTACAATCTTTTTAAAGTGTTGCTAAGTTAGAGCTTCCGAAGTTCTGATGATATTAAATTTCAGGTAGAGAAAAGAAAAGCACAAGTTTCTGCTAGAAAAGAAAAAGAAACATTTTAACAACACATATTTTTGATAGGTGAAATAAAAATCTTGTTTTGAAAAGCTAAAGTGAACAAGTTCAAATACTGTACAGTTTTATACCAACAAAAGAATGAGATTTTCAAGACATCTCACTTTTTTTAATTTTAATTTTATTTATTTTTCCTTCTGCAAGTTTTTACTTTCCTTGTTCAATATGCGGAAATAGAAGACTTAATAGGGCATAAAAGTGACAAATTGACAAGACTGTTTAAAAAAGAAGGTGTAGCAGAAACTCATTGAGAAATATATCATGAGAAATAATTATTGAGAAATAACATGGGGAAGATAATATTCAGTAGTGGTAATAAATATCAGTACTTTGTTAGCAGTTCCACTCTCAGCTGATTGTTCTGCAGTCAGACTTACATGGAAGGTCGATACTTTGCACCATAGGAAAACAGCATGTCTAAGGGGAGGCTCCAGGTTCAACATAGTTCCCTGGATAACATCCCATTTATGCCAATAGACTTTGGATCAGAGTGTGGAAGGAGTGAGGCAGTGCTGGCTGCAGAAGTCAGACTGCTTGAGTGGTACCTGCCAGCAGCAGTGGTCAGGCCAGGAGGGGTGAGTCTGCCTTACTGCAGACCCTGAGGCTGCAGCACACAGACACACTCCCTGTCTGCATTTCCTGGTGCTATACACATTATCCCTGAAACAGTGAACCGCCACAAACTATTGCCAGGGTTGATGTTCCCCTATAATATCAGTGTCTGTCTGATGAGGGTTTGAAGCAGGCAGGGATGCTCTACATTTCTTTGCCACTGCATTTCCAGAAGGGCAGGAGCCTGCAAGACTTCTGACACAAAACCGAGTTGTTGCCACTCCATGGTTGCAAATGTGTCTTAAGATATTTGCATCATAAGTCCTGTAATCATCAATGCCAACTAACAATTCAGTGATGAAGAGACAACAATTATATACTGGAGAGGAAGTGGTCACACAATACATTGTCTGTTCAAGAATAAAAAGGTAGTGCACAGGTTTAGATACAGAGCTACAGTGTGCCTTGAGACTGCACAGAGAGGTGTACAGAATATTCTGGAGTCCAGACTCAGTAGTTTGATATTCCACTAAATATCCAGTTGCAATCCAAATGGAAAACCAAGAAGAATGTTCAGGTTAGCTGCAAGTGGGAAGACACCTTTATTGGTCTCAAAGCAACCTTATAACTGACAGAAACAAATTTTAAGAACAAAAAACCCAAATTTGACCCCAAACCATCACTCACCAAAATCGAACTTTGCTTCCCATAAGGGAAATGAAAATCAAATACTTGTGTTTAGTACTTTGTTAAAACAGATAATATTTTTAATAGAATGAAGAAATTATTTCACAGTGAATTGTTTGCTGGTTAAGAAAATACACGGTGGAGTGGAGGTGCTCAACCAGTCTAGACAGATTACCTGAATCCCTTGAAGGCTGTCACAGAATCATAGAATTGTTAAGGTTGGAAAAGATCTTTAAGATCATCAAGTCCAACCATCAGCCCAGCAACACCACCATGTTCACTTTAAACTGTGTCCTCAAATACCACATCCACATATTTTTTTAACAGTTCCAAGAATGGTGGCTCCACCACTGCCCTGGACAGCCTGGTTGCTCTTCCAATGCTTTGCCATACTTTCTGTGAAGAAATTTCCATAATTTCCAATCTAAACCTCCCCTGGCAGAACTTGAGGCCACCATTGAAAGAGAAGAGATATAGTTATGCAAAATATATCAACAAGAGCAAAATTGCTGCACATTATCAGTGAATATTGTCTTTTATTTATTCTGGCTTAGGTGTTTAGGGAAGGATGATACACAAACTCTAGTGTGGTGTGCTAGGGGATGAAAGGTCTCAAGAGAGACTTGAACCATCAGCTTCTCACTATACAGTTATTCAACATCTTGCACGAAGGTGTTGATTGATCCAATTGGAAAGGTTCTATGGCAATAACTTTTTAATAATAGGTTGAAAATTCATTGTGAATTTCTCTACTTTGATAAGTGAGTGAACGCAGAAAAATGGGAGACGAAGGGAACTGGAAGACAGTATTTGGTGCAGTTAAAGTGCTGTGAACTACAAGTGTAATGTGACCCCTTTTACCTGTGGTCCTGCCTTGTGGCACCTCTCCTGATGAAGGAGGAGTTGTGGACTCAGATAGATTGGCAGAGGGCAGTGAGAAGCCAACCTCATAAATATCACGTGCTTCTACAAAAACTGAAAGAAATGATTCACAGTTTGAGAAAGAGGCCTTAGGCAGAATATTTGGAAAATGAAATCAGATTGATACTGACATGGAAGTTTCAGCTGTCAAACAAACTCTTCCATTACACCCTTTATTTTCCCTCTCATTCTCCAGAGTTGCACCTGTTTGTTGATTTTTGTCTGAAACTGGATGGTAAACACAAAGACATAAGCACCATGAAGTCTCTAAGCACTACTGTGATAAAATGCAGATAGATCTGTAGTTACACTGTTCAGCTTATTGCCACAGGAGGCTGGAGATATCCCAGTGGACAAGACAAATCCATGGAATTAGAAGCCACTGAAAACTATGAAACACCAAAGACACAATATCTGATTCAGGACGTCTCCAAGCCGCAGGCTGCGGAAGGCTATGGTGGAGGACTCATTAATGTACTTCTTTCCTATTTGTTATCCTTCCCTTCACATCTCATGATAGCCACCCTCAGTGACAGGATTTGGGGCTACACAGATCCAGGATCTGAGCAGGTAGAGCTGGCTCAGATCATTGTTTCTCAGCTTCAATATTTAAGGAGATGGTGCTCTAGCAGCAATACAGCACTGGTCTTTCATACACACAGCCTTCCACATGTCACCCCTGAAAGACTTATGCTGCAGCCTTGCCCATTGATTTACCCCAGTGGATCAGCAACCCGGGCACTGGGCCCAATCCAATATACACTGCATACATCCTCCTCTAAAATGCAGTCATGCTGTAGAAGGATAAAGATAAGGAAAATGCAATAGGAAAATTTTGTATTCATAACTCCTCATCCTTCAAAGTATTTGTTTCAAGTCCATGGAAAGTAGACTGAGTGCACAGATCTGCAAAGTTAAATGATAACCAGGAAAGAAATAGTACTGCAGTGAAAATGCAGGGTTTTCTTCCTAATTAAAATTTCACTTGTGTAGTATTTGTTTCGATTTTCCACTCATAAATATACTCATTTCCAACTATTATGATGCCGGTGAATAAGTAATGGGCACAATCAGCTGAAATTACACATTGTATAAAATCAATTTTGAAGCACTGAAACAAACATTTCTTTGTCTCACCGTTGTGGAAGGCTATTGTATTAATCTCATTGTAATTTGTCCCTCCCCCCCATTTGATTAAGAATCTGAATATATTATTCAGAATACACATACACTGCAGAACATCATGACAAAAAGAGAGTACAAAATGAGTACTATGAGTACAGAAAGTCTTTGACCTGAGCAAAGCCCTCTGACATTACTGGGAAAGCTGGAAGAAAAAGGATAAAAAAACAATCTTTGACATAAAAAATAGGTTGTACTGCATCTCAGATTACATTGTCTGTAAGAAAAAATGAGTTGTGCTGTTATTTCATTGTAATATCTGCTGCTGAGAAATTGCTCATAAGTAGCAATCAGGTTCAGAGCAAAAAATTAAAGTGAGCTTTTAATAAAATCTGATTGCAGAAGCCTATCTTTTACAAAAGTATAAAACTACCTCTGCAGAGAGAGGAATCAAAATGTCTATTTTTACCGTGCTGAACTAAAAGACTGAGAGGTGCATTACAGATGCTGGAGAACATGGGGTGGGAACCAGCGCCTTAGTGGGAACCACTAAGTGGGAACTAGCCTTAAGTGGGAACCAGTGCCTGGGTGCAGTGGCTGCGTTTATTGTGGGCCAGTGGGTCCAGCACCTGCAACGTGCTGCAGCACTCCCCTGCCACGCACTTCCCCCACAGCCCTGCAAACTGCTCCTCACCACTGTCAGCAGGACAGAAGGATCTGTACAGCTCACCATGACAGAGAGGGAGTGTGCAGAGATGTCCAGGTGAGAGACAGGAAGGCAATTGCTGCTCAATGGGGAGCAATGAGTGGGAGGAGGCTCCTTCACAAGGTGCATCTCAGAAAACTGCAGGCTGGAAAGTTAAAAAATGCTTCACAAATGGAAACATGACTTGACCCTCAGCAGTCTGACTGTAAGAGACTTCTTTAAAACCCCTTGAAAATATGCACCGTTCACAAACCGAATTAGAAATAGAGAAGGAAGTATGTACTATTTAATGCCTTTGACTACAGTTTTGTCCAAAAATTTTAGCTGGAAGGGTGTGCAGTCAGATCTTTGTGGTGCAAGTAAACACAGACTCCAACCATGAGCTGCAAAAGCTGAGAAAGTTTATTCTTCAGTTTCTGTGAAGACAGAAAACACAACTTCAGGTTATTATACAATACAAGGTTAAAAAAATATAGTGTCAGAAAATGAGAAAGAGAAGGAAAGAGAAGAAGGTGCTTGATTTTTCTCTCTGTTGTAGGGGGATCCTTTTCTATGAAGCAGCTTCTAGGTTTCCTATCTGCAGGGGAAAAAAAGTAAGGCACTGAAGCAACATCTCATAATAGGAAAAACAAATAATCAATATCATATCCTCATATTAGTAGAAACACCCTCTCTTACCATTCCTAAGCACACAGCATGCCAGAAGACTGCTCTTTGCTCACCTATGTTGCTCATCTTGCAAGTGAGAGGAAGAGGGAAGGGAATTTTCAATGACAGAGTGCCTCACCTGGGAACTCAGCTTCTTCAACTGCTCCTACAGGCATCCACCTGGATACTAGACACAATGAGAAAGAGATGAAAGTCCCAATGCAGGTTGAGAAACCCTATGGCCCACTACAGAACCATGCCCCCTGGCAGGGGTAAATTTCCCTGGGTTGAGCCCTTAATGAGGTAAAATGCAAAGATTTCTTACCTCCTTAAATGCCATGGTCCATGCTCAGATGTACTCAGCATAGCAGGAACCAGCTCCCAATTTGTCCCATTATACCAAAACCACATCTACGGTTTGATGTGTGAGGCAGAACAGTTAAACAGTCTCAGCGCTTGGAGGTTGACTGAAAGCAGGGATGCTGATACTGTCATTCAACTACATTGTTTCAGAAGATCACAGGATTTTCCAAGTCCAAAGCCGAGCACCACACTGGGTTGTCTTGAGGGATGCTGAACTTTATTTGCATTCCAGTGACCAAGGTAAGTTTTTTTGCTGAATGAGAGCAAGGGGTTTTTCATTGTTCTGGGATGATTATGGTGTTTGGTCACTATGTATAATAGAGTCACCAGCCTCTGATGTGGAAGGTTGGGAATTCTCAAAGTCTTTACAAAGAAGACTTCAGAAAAGCGGGAAGTCTGGAGGAATGATATAGGCAAAAACTATGGTCATCTCAAATAGGCTGAAGTTCTAGGGTCCGACTAATCTATGCCATGAAATCCCATATATCGTCAAGGTAGGCAGCTCATCTTGTGCAAGGGATGCGCCCAAGACATGTTATGAAAATCAGAGAGGAGGTAGAGCCAGTTGAAGTAAGAGATAACAGCTGTAAGGTCATGATTACTGTTGAACAATAGCAGTTTTTGGAAGAGATGTGGAGCATATGGGGAATGCAAGTTCTTCTGCATCCTCGGTTCATGCTGTTTTGTACTGCACTGCCATCTGAGAACACCTCTAGGTGTTGACTGATCCCTTTCTCCAATGTGATTACAATGTTAAAGGTGGTTTTCATGTGACAGGTTAGGTGTCTCCTCAAATATCCATGTTTGCCTGGCACATTTTCACAGCTCTGTTTAGTAGCAACACTTGAATTTTCATTTTTGTCCACAGTGAGTACCTTGGGAAGCCATAATGCAAACATACCAGGGATCCTTTTCCAGCCACCTTCCATTCCAGGTGCATCACCAAAATCTGAGCCACATTGACACCAAGCTTTGACACCTTGAATATCCTTTCAGAAAATTCAGTGTAGAACAGACAATACCTCTGCAGGTCGAGTAAGTCATATCCTACCCTATTATCTCAAAAGAGCTCACTCTGGTTAGAAATCATGCCCTAATGAATCAGCTTATGCTTAGGTGCCAGAATTATACTGAACAACTCTGAAATGTTATGTTACCTGCACATTCCTATGGACTTTATATTGAATACCCAACTGGTGTGCTGCTACTATGTACCTTTTACGTGCTCTAGAATGGGTACTCCAGGCAAGGGCCATAAAAGAAAATTGTCAAGTCATTACTTAAGTATCAATATTTCGATCACACATCGTTCATCTGTATGGAGTAGCCTTACCGCAATCTCTATTCATCAACCTTTCTGTACCTGAGGAATTTCCATCCCTCAGCATTCTTCATGAGTCCAAAATAGGTGATTAATACCTTTACTGGTTTTTCAGTGTAACACGCAAGAACCCTTACATAAAAAGTTAGGTCTGTTTTCAAGACAGCCAATACTTGAACACCATGGATGATGGTATTGATCTCTTAGTCATCAATTAGAACCCTTCATCTTATATTCTCAGGAAATATATCTATCACTGAAAAGCCAAATGTGCAGTTCTGTGAGCTATGTTGAACCTCAAATAAGAAATATTTCTGCAGGTAGATTTTCTAGAACTCTGTATTGTAGAAGACCATTTATTCTCCCTAGGGAGGGTCACCCTAAATTTACCTCTAGAGTCAACATGAAATGGCTGCCATAAGTCTTGCATTTGTATATTAGTGTAAAACTTTTGAGATGATTCAATATCCTGAGCCTTTCAAGAGGCAACTACAGGCACTTATCTTGCATCAGGCATTGCAGTTCACTGGCAAATGTGCATGAAAAATTCAAGGTGTTTAGTTTTCTCTGTCTGTTGTTTTTACTTTACATAAATTCTAAGGCACAACCAGTTGTACCTTAGAGCTCAAAGCATCAGCAATTCCATCTTTCTGAGAAGAGTTTTAAAAAGTGAGAATATTAAAGCTCTATTTTACCTAGTGTTCCTGATGATACTACTCTATTAAAAACCATTATTTTAGTCCAGGATTAATTGACAACTATTGTTTTCCTGTATTCTTTCACATTAATTACAGGTATTTAAAATAATATTCTTTATTAAATTTGATTCAGCTATGCTCCTGAAAATGGAGCCTTTTCTATTTCTTTCATTTTATATTCAGAAGTTAATTTTAGAAGTCCTAAAATAGGATCTTTCAGTAGTCAGTGGACTGCCATAGGTCAGCTCATTCCAGCTCAAGGTACATATCCAAGACAGACAGGATAAATAGCCCTCTGGACACATACATCTCTTTCAACTATGTGCAGCTGGCATAGCTTTTAGATAGATAAAATAAGGCAAGATTAAACTCATCATAACTCTTGATCAAGGTATATCATGCACAACACTGAGAATAAGTTTATCTAGGTTGCTTGCTTGAACAATTTGTAGGTCATATCCTTATTTGTTCAGTATATATGGGGTTTCTTTACACTTTTTAAACACAATTATATAATCTCAAAATCTTCTGTTTGGAATGAAAAGTAAAAACTAAAAAAATATAATGTATAATTATAATAGAGCTTAATTTGAATACATGTCAAAGCAGAACTTCATTGTATATATGCTTGAGCTTAGGCACCTGAGCAGCCTATTGATAGAGGAAGATGTAGATCTACCTGTAAAGTTAAGGCTGCTCTAAAGAACTTCCTAGCTTTAGTCTTTTGAATCACAACTTTTTGTCGTTTTGTTGGTACATGCAATCAGAGGAGGCCACAACACACACTTTGTAAACAGCTGGATGAAGGAAAAAGAAGAACCCATTTAAAGAAGTTTTATGCAGTGCAATTGTTGTCAGCAGTTGTAAGAAGGACCACAGGTCAGACAGTTCTCGAGTCTATCTATACCATAAGAAACACTTGCCTTTATGCCCAAGCTTTTAAGGAAGCAAGTAAATCTGATTCAAATGGGCAGGCACCTAACATCTTTGAAAATACCATCTTTGAAAATACCTGCATGAGTGACAAATATTTCTGTAAGAAACAGGACCTTCTGTCAGAGTGTTTTTAATTTAAGATGTAAAGTGACTCTAAAAACCTGGGCAAAACCAGGATTTCACTTTCTGTGAAAGCATATTTAATTTTGAAACATATAATGATGTAAGAATGTGAGAGAAAATGGCAGTAGTTTAAATATGAATTGTATTAATGAGGAGAGGGCAAGAATCTTGTCTTCTAAGTGGTTATGACTCATACCTTCTAATTATAGCATGTACACATCCTACTTCAGTAAAAAAGAATATCAAGCATACTCTGGATGAAAGATATTCAGATACTTGGTGAACTAGTGGCTGATTAACAGGCACCAGAGTTCATCTTGTGGGGGGAAAAAAAAAAAAGAACCTGCAACTTTTCTTATGTACTCTGCTGTAAAACACAAAAAATTCTGCTGCTGACAATGGAATTCTTTTGTTGTTGAAAGGGCATGAGGGCAGAATCAATCAAAAAATGTCTATGAATAAGTTTCTGACTTCATTCAGATTACAAAAAAAATAAAATATTAATTTAGGAAAGCATATACTCAACTCTGTACTCAAAATAAAGCCAGAAGTCCATTCCCAAAGACAAATACTAAAAAAACCACCCCAAAACTAAGATTAATAATTTCCCAAATCACAAAGCTCTGAAATGCAGTCACTTAAGTGCAGTGGGGCAGAATGATGCATCCTGTGATGGAGCAGGCCCTTCTGCTCCTCTAGCCTCCTACCATGCTGCTCAGTATTGGCGAGGCTGTAGGGACCTTGCACGACTCTGGTTTGTTTCAAGGCCTGCAAGAGATGCCATGTGGGTCTTTTGGATTGCACAAAAGCTTCTGGGAGTTGCAGAGAAGGCTGGAGAGTCCAAACTGTGCCTCTCCAGCAAGTAGAGGATAGTTCAGACAAAGCGCTGTATTTCAGAGGACTTCCCAAGGATTCAGACAAAAGGAGAGAGCAGCTATTGGTCAGCCTCGGAAATGTCACTAGGAGAAACACATGGCCAAAACCCTTAAAAACAAAAAAGAGTTTTATACCTAAACAGTAGAAAGTAAGCGACTGGAAGGACTTTCTGCAAATGAGGTGGGACCTACATGGCTGAGGAAGCGTAGGGTGAAGCTGGGCAGTTTCACCATCACTACCTCTACCATGACAGTTTTAAGGGGTTTGATTTTATTTATTTGTTGAATATCTGCGAATCAGATTAGTTAGAATTTTGTTCTGCCTCAGTCTTATTTTGTGCTACTCCAGTTCTTGCAGAACCTATAGCTACATCCATGTCTTTGCTTTGAGATTTTGTTTTCTTTTGAGCATATTATCAATAACCTCTGTTCCTTTAGGCTTTATTACCATATATTTTGTAAAAAACTGAAGAACAGGACAGAGGAATTTGCAATGAGTGTAGGATTTTTAATACAAAGGGTGGCTGAGTACAGGGCTGACTGAGTACAGGTTGCTTAACCCAACTCTGACAGAGCCTTGTTTACATAGGGCACTGACTCCCAAACCTTTTGACCCCTGGGATATTACCAGTCTTCAAACTTCCTTGTACAGCCAGATCTAGCTGATAAATACCTTGATCATCGTTACTCCTGAACAAGCCTGGTTGTAGATCATGTACCATCAATGATTTAAAAAAAATATTTTCCCTAAACCAGTCATATTTCTCACTCCCAAATACCAACAGCACAGACTGTGCAGCTAAACTGCAGGATCCCAGTCTGGGGATTTGCACTGTGGAAGAATTGTTTGCACTGACTTTGACCTGACAGGAACTAAAGATGGTTTTGCTATTAGAAACATCATCCCAAAAACTGCTCTTCTCTGAACTCAGAGAAGGAGACAGATATACACAGAGAGGAAATGCTCACCAGTCTCAGGAGAAGTTGTCTTTACAGAAAGAAGTTTGACTCCATCTTTGTCTGACTGGGCCCTGTTGAAATCAGAAAACATTTAATCAGACAGACAGCATGCGTGTTGGTCAGCCAAACAAAACTCTAAGATTATGATCTGGAGAAGGCAGCAGCTACACCAGTCTACACTGGCAGGCTTGAAATGGGCTTTGCATGGGATCATGAGCAAGTCTTGGTGGTGGAAAACATCATATACCAACACCTCTTATAATACTTTTCTCTTAAAATATGTAATAAATTAAGTTTCATGATTCCAGGTTTAATCTAGCATTTCACAGAAGTACATCTGGGAGAAAAGAGGGAGTCATCTTTTTTCTGTCAATACAAAGCTTTTAGCCATGTTGAATTGCAAACAAAATATTGACAAGAGAAAAAACATTAACAAAAGAAGGGAGATGGGAAAGAATGGGGGGAGAGAAAAATCAATGGGAGAAAAAATTGAAAAAAAAAAATACTGGGCCAGTGAGTCCTGTGACACAGAATAAGCTGTTTGTCCATTCCAAAAGGATCCCCTGCAACACAGCTGAGAGTCATCACATTTCTATCCATGCTGGAACAGCTGCTTGTCATGCATACGGGTGTACAATAACTGCAAGAACAACACTTCCAGCAGGATATTTCTCTTTGGGGTGGTAACTGCTTATTATGTTTAAGCAGAGAGAGATCAAAGAAAATCCTACACAGAATCTGCTGCATTTACAAGTGCCCTGTGATAGATCTCAAAGCAATGAAAAGAATTCAACCTACTGTTCAGCGCCATTCTCTTGTCTCTCTGGAAGAAGAAACAAAGGTAGTATCATTCTGATTGCTGGAACTCACTTAAATAAACATTTAGACATAGCTATTGCAGTTTCTGGCATACAGCTTAGTTGTGATTTTGCAGTATTGCATTAAGTGCATTAACACAATCAAGCAGCTTGAATGGTAATTGTTATTTTTCTGGTCATCTATGAAAGTGAACTGATACTGCTGATACTGATGCTTCTGGAAACCAGGGAGAATGATATGTGACTTGTCCAAGAGCACAACAGAAGCACATTTTTCCCTGCAGCTCCCAAATCCCTGGGTAGCTGGCACAGAGGACGTGAGCATGGAATGGTTCTTGAGTACATAACAACTGAGCTAAAAGATACAGGGTGAGGGGAGTGAGGGAATATGCTGCCAGGCTGTACACCCTGGGGGTTTAACCTATCATGACATCTGAGAGCAGAGCCTGTCATCCTAATTGATGAGGAACAGGTTTCTCCCCAAAATGAATCATATAGTGAATGTATTTTATGCTTATGTCCAAGTGTGGGCAGATGGATGGGGCCAGCGGGTTACATCAGAGACATGGAGCCAACTCTAGCTCCATGGCACTAAGCACAGGGGTTTCCACCCACAGGGGAAGCACACTGGATAGGTCTGGGCGAATCCTACAGGAAGCACCACAGGTATCTACTCTATCTTCCAAATGAATTTGCTATTACAGTGCCTGATGGCGTTTGTGCATAGGGCAGGCTGGTGAGGAAATGTTCTTCATCTCATGTCTTTATCTCTTGACTCCAAATATTTAATAGTTTCCTAAGCAAGGATCTCACCTTCCTCTGTTTATCTGGGTCTGTTCTTCCATGTCATTGGCTAAATTGGTTGTGACACGCTGTTTGCCTTGGTTTACAGCTTCAACACCCTCTTGTGATTTTGTATTTCCAAGGCCTGGTGATTTCACAGTTGAAGCTCTGCACGGGTCTCCTAACTCGTGCCAGCTCACAGGGACAGAAAAACCACAGTCTGGATTCTGCATTTTCACTTAATGAAGAATCACACTTGCCTGTAGCCCACTTGGGCGACTCTGAAATATTTGGCAATTGGAACTTGATGGAACTATAACCCATTATCTAAAGTATTTAATGGATAGCAGTGAAGCAGATACTGACTTTAGCTGTCCTGTCAAAATTACTGCATCTGAAAATACTGCTTGCTCAGGGATTTTGTTCCCATGTACATTATAGTGTAACTAGAAAATTCTAGTCATGCATAATGTGTGTGTGTATCTGTGTCTCTGTGTGTATCAGGTATATTCCAAAAGAATATTTCTTTGCCTGTATCTAGAACAGAAATAAAATAAATATAGCGATTTTGTTAAACAATATCTTCAAACTTAGTTTTCGCTGCCTATTTCTACCTGATTGACTGATTGTATTAGCACAGGTGTTTGCTAGTTCTTGGTAGCTGCAAAAATGTGAACAGAAAGCTTGCAGCATTACACATATTCTCTAAAAATCAGAGACATTTTTGCTCACTCTGTTCTTCCTACTGATTTTGAAAATGAAGTGTTAGTTTCCCACTTTGGGCAAAACACTTCAAAATACAAGAAGGTTTCCCACCAGACTACCACAACAGCTATGGTTAAGGTAATCTAAAAGAGATCTTTTAACAATAAAAAGCACATTGATTACTTCCCCTCCCTTTCCCACCCCCCCCCTCTATCCAGAGAAAGCAAAACGAATACCTGGAGTTTTCTTCTGGCACATTTTGTACAAAGCCACCAGTGAGAAGACAGAGAGGGTAATGACTATCAGGGTGATAACAATTGGCAAGATAATACCTGCAAAAGAGGGAGAACGTATTTTTGGCTGCTGCCTCTGGCTTGTGTTGCCTCTGTGTACAGGCACTTGCACATGCAAAGGTGAGAGGCATCTCCATCTCCACCAAACCTTACCAATTTCTCAGGAGCAAGGTAGCCTGCTGCTCCTGGTATCCTTCCAGCAACCACTGAGCCTCAGGCTCGGCGGCTTTGTGGAGGAAGGATTTAGGAACTTTCTCACACCCTTACTCCTTCCCTGATATTTGTGTTGCCCTGTGTAACTGGTTTCACCCATTTTCCAGTAGAAGAGTGAGGTTTCAGTACCTGCTCCACTGGGACTACCATAATCTTGATCAAAATATTCATGATTCACCCCCACTGCTGATGGCCCCAAAGATTTTATGAGAGAGACATGTATCAGAAATAAATTTTTCATAGGTGTATTTTATTTTTTCCTATTGTTTTTGAAAACAAGGTTTGTCTGAAATTCAGCAACAGAAGCGATTATTTTGCTTTCAACATTGTACACCCAGGAAGACACCAAGGAGTTACATAATTCAGTAACATTCCCCACAGCACTTATAACCAGGGATAAATGCAAGACCTCCTTTTAAAATGAGGACATTTCTTTCCTTTTATTATTTCCCACCATCTGCCATTTCCTGACAGGTGTTTCCCAGCCAAGAAGCAAAAACGGAAGAATTATGTAATGAAGAGAAGCTTTCCTGGGGAAATATATAAGCCCAGCTTCTCCCCATTTATCTTTTTTTTTTCTAGAAGCAACCAGACACTTTCAAATTTAGCAGGCACTCTCCCGCCTGCTGGCCTAAGCCTTGTTTTGGGGGGAGGCTGCCTTCCACAGCATCAGCCATCATGCTACCTGATGTTTAGAGGCGGCATCTTCCATGTCTCCTGATGCAATTAGTACTTAATATTAATACAGGAGTGTGTGTGCATCTGTGAAATCAGAGGGAGAATGCAGAGACAAGTTTACAGTGGACAAACATCAAACTTGTTTTCCTAAGCCAGTACCCCGGGCAGGAAATAGCAGGTCTGCAGCAACACCCTTGCCCCAGAGATGCAGAATACTAAAATAAAATATTAAGTAACATGCATCATGCAAATATCAAGTGCTTAAAGAGTCTGCAGAAGACTGCCTTGTAGACCTTCTCTACCATGACAATATAAAAAATATATTCATATAATACATTCATACCAATACATTCATACAATATGTACAACATGTACACGTGCAACTTTTTCAAATGTTTCCTTATGTCTTCTCTCACAGGGGATGATTGTTCACTTTTTTTTTTCAATTTTACCACTTTGAATCAGTCCTTGGGCATAATTGTGCTGCTCTACAGTGAGATCAATGTCAACTTGTTAAGCCCTGTTTCTCTTTGAGAGGAGTTTTATAATAGGCATTTAAATTTGGTTTCTAATAGGGCCTACATCAGGTAAGGCTGAAAATAAAAATGCCAGTTTCATTTGCCTGCTACTCCAATCACTCACCAAAAGCAAAACTGATCAACCAAAAACTCAAAAGCTGGACAATAAAGTAGGAATACTCACTAGAATAGTGGATATCACTCCCTGTCCCTTTCTCATCTTCTCCAGGACTGCTTCCACGACTGCCAGAAGCTAAACGTGCAAAAGAAATAGTGCTTTTCACGTATTGCCAGAAGTCACAAAGAATTCACCCTGAAAAATTACCCCCTTAAAAGAACTTTTGTGTCCCCAGTTCTGGAGCCACTCGGTGCTTCACATCTATATTTTTTCTCAATAACTCTCTTCTCGGATAACTTGGCAAGTGGGGTGGAAAAGTTTATCTAGTGTGGCCCAGAAGAAACACACACTTTACATGGTTGCAGTCCTCCCTGGGATCATCTGCTGGTCCACTTACAGGTTATAAACTACAAGCTTTTTCACTTTTATGAGCTTATGGTACTGTTCAATATTAGAAGAGAACTCTTGACAAATAAAAAACAAGAAAGAGAGTGAAAATTAAACCTCTCTCCAAAAGAAGAAAGACCAAAATATTTCACTCACTGCTAATAAAATTTTTTTTAAAAAAATGCTAATAGTAGATGAAGAAGTCTAAAGAGGTGCAATATTAGTAGATAGCAAGTTTCTTGAGAGTTGTTATAGAAGGATGTACATGCTCTCTCTGCCACATCTGGAGAAAGCAATGACTTCTGTGAGCCTCTGGGACATTTTTTAGGTCTGGGTATAAAGGAATGAATTTCTATCTTCAGGTGCTAATCTGAATTTGAGTTAGATATCAAAAACCCAAAATATTTTTTCCTTGTTGCACACAATCTGTGAAAAAAAACAATCACTGAACTTCCAGAGAGAAAATAGAAAATGCAAACATTTGTGTTTCCATAGTTACATTACATAGCACATGGGATTGTATTCCATGTTGGACAGAGGCTTGAGTAGACATGTGCTCCCAGCCACTGAAGAAGCTGACCAGCTGGATATTTCCATTGCCTGTTTAAATATCAGAAATGGCTCTCAAAGCATCTGGAGAAGGTGGCCTGTTAAGAAGTGGGCCCAGCAGAGGCTATAGTTCCATATATAAGTAGTGAGAACATGGCAGCAGCCACTGAGGTTTTGTTGGAGGCTCCACTGCTCAGGTACCTACTCACAATCTGCACCTGTAGGGATGCACGGTTCCTCTCCCAAAGAACACAGTAGGGCTCAAATTGTTGGGTGGAAGCTATGAAGTTAACTGAGTCATTAAAAACAATTTCCCAATGGTAATTTTGAGGTCTAGAATACAATTTTGTTTTACTTCCTTTGAAAGACATGTCCCCATTTTTACAGAAGCTTTTGTACAGGTAGTAATTGTAACTCTTGTCTGCAGAATTATATCAGCTGTCATAGGTTTGAAAAGAGATGTTGGAATTTTTTCCCAAATGCCAATCCCCCCTTCTGTTTCTTCCAGGATGGGGAGGGGGGTGGAGTGAAGCCACATGCACTGGGCAGCACAAGAGCAGGGGAAGGGGGAGTGCTCTCGGGAAACGGAGGTTGCTGCAGGGATGGCTAGAAGTCGGTGGTTCGGGGGCTTTTGGGGTTTTTTTTTTGTCCACAGACCAGACAGAGCGAGAGCCTGGTTTCAGCCACCTATTTTTCTTTTCCGGAGAGGAAGTTTTCTTTTTCCCCACGGGACATCTCGCGGAGAATGACACAGAGAGAGAGACAGACCCACCTCAGAGCAAGGTATTCTGCTTTCAAAGACTGCCCGTGGGAAAAAAGGATTTTTTTCATTGCTGGCTGCAAGCACACGTGACTGCGAACAGCTTTTGAACTGCCGGGAACCTGGGGAATTGGGACTTTGTTTTGTTTCTTCTGAGAGTTTTTGATTGCACCATTTGTTGCTTATTCAGATTTTGTTAATAAAAAGCTGTTGCTCTTCCTTTTCCGCACTTCCACCTGAAGTTTCTTAATTTCTAAGTTGTAATCTTCTTAAACTAAGACAGTAACAAACAAGGTTTGTTTGTCCCAGCCATGTAGGGCTCCCTCTTCCTTGCTGCACTGATTTTAAACTCAGGCCCGCTATTAAAAAACGGGTTTTGTGGACTTCCCTCTCCCGCCCATTCTCTCCCCTTCATTTGTCTGGCCACAAACAGAAACCACCATCACTTACTAAGTGTTTGTGTAGTGCCTAAATAATACAGCCACAGCTGAGACCTTTTGATGCTATAGTGTAGGAAACAACCATTGTCCAAGACCTTTATCTCTGTTTCTTTAAAGCAGAAGTTCTCTTTCCCATGGTGCCTGTCTGCTGAGGGGTGATAATGTAAGGATGGAAACTGAGCCATCATCAAGTGACTAAAATAATTCCTATGAATTCTTAATTCCTTGTGACTGCTTTAGATTTCCCATGGAAATACTACTACCCTTTTTGCTATCTTATCTGGTATACTACATGATATGGAGGGTAAGCAGGCAATTATCACAGCAATAAGTTACCCTGGATACTGACTGAAAATGTCAACAGAAACAAATTACACTGAAAAACATGAGCGTGTATCCCTGCATTTGTGCGGGAGATTTGTGCATCTCCTCAGGAGAACAACTGAGGATTGAAATCCACTGGCTATTTTCCTGATTATCTGTCAATTGACCAAGGTGTGAGTAACACAGGAAAGAAAAATCCAATAGCTTGGCATTTTAACTACTTGAGACCATCAATAAGTAATACAACAGCTAAAAAGAAACATTACTGAATGAAATAGATTCATGAACTAAAAGCTTTAGCTCATTTCTCCATGTCTTTCACTAGATTCTCACAAGCTGGCCCATCCTGTCTACTTTCCCTGATCTAGAAGGTATTTTCCAGTTATGGAATGATCTGGGATCAGAATAAAAATTAATTGGAGAAATACATCCATCATGGTAACAGGAGGGACAAGATTTTGCTGGCAGCAGCAGCAGCAGCAAGAACTGCAGGGACCAGTACAGAAGAGACTGTTTCCTGACAAGCATGGAGAAAGGAAAATAAGACAATACAGGTTCATTAGCACAGGAAACTTGCCTTACTCTGGGACTTGCCGCTTCTAACTACAGGACAAGGAACAAGAGCCACTGACAAGAACAAGCTCCTTGGTAAACACTCTATTTATATCAGCTTCCCCTTGCATCACACAATACACCAGCCCTGATTTTTTTTTGTACTCCCACCCTGTTTTCTTTCCAGTATCTGCTAATCCGACATAGTATACTGCTGAAATCACAGCAAAGCTACTCAATGCTACAAGTCGAACACCACTCTTCTGCTTCTCTGTATTATGCTTCAGATTCATTCATCCTCTAGAGCCTCCTCGTTTCCCGAACATTTCCTTTCCTCAGGTTGTCCCTCTCCCACTCCACACCAGCATTTTCATCAGTGTGCATAGAGCAAACTCTTCTATCACTCTTACTTGTTGATTCCGTTGGAGACCTCACGGTAAGGCCTGCAATAAAACAGAAGGAATAGGTTATTAGTACAGTTTTAGATGTCCCAAGTCTTCACATCATGCAAACTATCAGACTCTAGCAACATGCGCAGTAACCCCACAACAAATGCTGCCCCAGAATGGACTTGCTAACACAGTTCCTAAGCCCAGAAAATCGGAGCTGTTAAAGTCTGCAAACGTCTCATAGATAGGAGCAGAATCAAAAGCCCAGCCTATGCTAGGTTGTTTTTCTGCTCAAGAGAAGAAAATCCTGAATTAATTGATACATTAAAAAAAACCTCCTCCTGCCAAAACCAAATAAGTGCCTGTGAGTGAATAGCTGACATTTAACTGACAAATAAGTGTTTTAATAAAAGAAAGTCAAATGCCTAATTGAGACACGTCTTCAAGTGTCACAAAATCCTTTAAAAACAAATCTTCATTTATTATCTTGGTGCTTTGGGCTAGCAGACTGCCAAGCAGCAGGAGTAAGAGGCATTGGTAATGAGGAAGACATTGACCTTGCAGAGCACTGGGCACAATGCTTACTGGCCCACTACTGTCAGCTTCCTCCAGCCACTTCACAAGTTTTTGGCGCACAATGCTCATTTTCTGTTAGCTTTTTGTTAGCATGCTGCTGCTTTTGTGTGTCTAGACTGTAGCAGGCTTGGAAATAAAGGGCGGCTCTGAATGCCTCACATTTGTAGCCTAGCCACAAACAACCATCACTCCCATAGTGATTTTTATTACATCACATTAAATCTCTTCAAGTCAAAGGGAAATGAGCACCTAACTTATCTGTGTCTTTGAGAATGTTCACCTGTGTGAACTAGAAGCAAAACCTTTATCTGCTTGTACAAGACAGACTGTGTTTTACCAGGGACAAGCGACTGACACTCTGCCCACATGGTGAGACATTTCACACTGGATTACTGGGGCTACCAGGGGAAAAAATATCTCAGGCACTATATATCCTCAGCAGCCACTCCTTATATATTTTGAGCTATAAACTACAGAATCATTTAGGCTGGAAAAAACCTCCAAGGTCATTGAGCCCAACCTTTGACCGATCTCCACTTTGTCATCTAGACCATAGCATTAAGTGTCACTTCTAGTCATTTCTCGGACACCTCCAGGGATGGTGACTCCACCACCTCCCTGGGCAGCCCATTCCAGTGCTTGACAAACCTTTCTATGAAGAAATTCTTCCCGATGTCCAACCTGAACCTCCCCTGGCACAACCTGAGGCTATCTCCTCTCGTCCTATCTCTGGTTGCCTGGGAGAAGAGGCTGAACCCCACCTGGCTACGACTCCTTTCGGATAGTTGTAGAGAGCGATAAGGTCTGCCCTGATCCTCCTCTTCTCCAGGCTAAGCAACACCAGGTCCCTCAGCCCCTCCTCGTATGTCTTGCTCTCCAGACCCTTCACCAGCTTAGTTGGCTTTCTCTGGACAGGCTCCAGCACTTCAATGTCTTTTCTGTAGTAAGTGACACAAAACTGCACACAGAATTCAAGGTGTGGCCTCACCACTGATGAGTACAGAGTGACAATCACTTCTCTGGTCCTGCTGGACACACTATTTTTGACACAGGGCAGGATGCCACTGGCCTTTTTGGCCACCTGGGCACACTGCAGACTCATGTTTAGCTGCTGTGGACCAGGACCAACTCATAGCATTTGGTCACCTTTCTCTAGGCTAGAGGAAACTATAAAAGTCCTCCTAGTTGGATCTGTTCAGAGTTCACTGCTGCCAGTGCATTTGTGGGGGATGGGGTGCATCTAATCCTCTCCTGAGAGCTCCATGGAAGGACATGACCCACCAGCATGTCTTCCATATCCCAGCTGTGCCAGGCTGGGGGACCACAGAGGGGGGAAAGCATCATGGAGGTATCTCTGACTCTGGGCAGGCATTAAGCCTCTCCCCTGAGTGCCCTGGGTTGCAGTGCTCCTCCTCCAAATCAGGGTCTCTAGGGAGTACAAATCTACTCTTATGCCCTCGCTGCACTTTCTGTGCATGGACTAATGATTTGCACAAAGACAGCTCCTACCACCAGAGCTGTAACACACATTATTCTACTGCTGTGAATGTACTCTTTGAAAACTAGAATGCTGCTCTTGTTTTTCTTCCTCTCTACACTCAATTAAAACCATGGATCACTTCAGCAACTGGGATGAAAATAACTGCTTTTGCTAATGATTTATGTGACAGAACTTTAACTGCATTTTAATCACAAACATTCATGAAAAGCATGTTTAGGTGGAAAAGCCAAGTACTTAAAAGTCAGCAGTAAGAGCTCTTCTTGAACTTACTAAATATTTGTAATGCTAAGTATCCTGAAGCTATAGTTACCTCACCCTGACTTCCTAGAATGCAGAGGATACTTTTTTCCTAAGCTTTTTGTTATCTCATCAATCCATCTGCCAAAAGCAATGTCACCTTGTTCAGAGAGGATCTTTGTGCTGATTCATTAGGTAATGTTTATACATTACGAACAAGACCAAGGAAAAGTTTTCAGGAAGTTAATAAATCATATGTCAAAGGAGGTTTGGAAAAACATGAAGTACAGAACGCAGCAGGACACATACCTGGCATTAAGGAAAGATCCGAATATGGTATGATTACTTCTTACCAGAATACTACCTTTGCTTCAGCCTATAACGAGTGGGATCCCATGGAAAAAAATACCATGTGATCACACAGCAGTGGTCAAACAAGCAAACTGTAAGGCTTTGTGTGTGCGTATTCTTGGAGGAGGGCAGAAGACCTTGTCAAGTCTTACAAGTAGGTCACTTCTCTATGAAACTTCAAACCTTTTCCAAGTCTGTGGAGCTTCCCTATAAAAGATCTCCAAGACTACAATGTAGTTATACATTTCCGCTTAACTTCACTCTTAGAAACAAGGTGAACTGTCTTGGCTCAAATTAAAACAAATGAATACATAGAAACAGCATGTCAAGCCCAAGACTGATATCCAAGTTCACCTCAAAGGCTTAACAGTTTGTTAAAGGTGAATGCCAGTGACATTAGGCTCTGCATTCAAGAAGGTTTGGGTGACAATGTACCCACTGGCACAAGCGAAAACCACTTTGCTGTCCTGGCCAGACCTTGCCTCTTCAATAAAAAGCAGACAGCAGAAGCTACCCCAGGCAGGAAACATGACAGCAGCCTCTGTTATTTTTTAACAACTGCACATATGCACACATCTACACACAGTAGAACTACAAGCATCTTTCCCGAAGATATCTCACCCAGTTTTACTAGATCATGAAAAATTAAAATCATGAAAGATTAAAATCTCATGCCTTTCTCTCTCTCTCTTCCTGTCTCCAGTATGCAAGCAAGGTGCTAGTTCACCCTCTGTTCAGAGATTGCTCAGTACTGCCACACAAACAAATCTGTGCTTATTGGAATGATTAAACAGGTGCTTCCAGTTTGCATTTGTTAAATAACCATCCAGTGCCCTTTTCGGTGAGGGCTCTCATGCTGCTGTTCTACAGAAAGAGGATAGAAGGAAAAGCAGCATTTCACTCACTAACATAGTTACTGTAGCTGCTGTATCTGCCTGTCCAGAGCTTACCACATCCTTTGGTGCTCCAAGTTAGGTGCTCTGCATAAATAATCTGGGAAGATTTCCAGATTCATAATGAAAAATGAGGTGTGCAACACTGGCTGTGCTGGGTTCCTTGTTGTGCAGTAAGGAGGGCAAGGATAAAAAATTTGGCACGTGACCATGGTTTGATTTGAAATTACCTGTCTGAGTCAGTTCAGTGCTAGTGAGAAGCTTGACAGATGGAGAAAGAGACCAGTAGCTAAATTCTCCCCGCTCTGCTCTCCAACAACTGCTACCTAAGCAGCCTGGATACCCTGCAGTGTGCTACTTCTGTTTTTTGGAGTGCAGCCACATGCAACTGTGTTCACTGGCAAAACAAACGAATAAATATGGCTGATTACTCAGAGGGGATACCACAATATAAATCAGAGCAAAATTAAAAACTTGAAAAAGCCCTTCTTGCCCTGACCATACTATAGATTTGTAATAGTGTTAACTGAGGCTTTTCTGTGTTTTCCATCTCCCAGAAACTTCTATTTTTGTGTCTCTCTCTTTGTGAAGGAGCTGAAGATACGGTGGGTAATTTTTGCCTAATATCACTATCCTGAGTTCCTACACAGTTTGTGTACAGAAAGAGTCAAACCCTCCTAGTCTTACTCATAAAAATTTTTCTTAGGGAGATGCCTCCTGTGAATCAAGTGAGTAGGATTTATAATTGGAGGAGTGCAATAAAGATATCAATAGATGTAGCAGGTTGATTCATCTGACAGTTTATTATAATAGATCATTTAATTTTACCACCCTGCTGGGTGAATTTAAGATCACACTGCTTTATGGATTTTTTTTTTTGTTGTTTAGATCACAGAATGAAAAGCCACAATACTTGCGGTTTCTCAGGTGTATTTAGACTCTGACTGATCCATTAATCTCCAATTTTTCATTAATTAAACAAAAGGAGAAAATTAAATATTAGCAAGCAATCCTCCATGGAAGTGAAGAATGAGTAGGAGGTATATCATATATGACTGCCAAATTTGGAGAAGTGTGTGTGTCAATGGCACACATGCAGGTTGCTCTCTTTGCTGAAAACAGTCCTTATTGCCTTCTCTAGCCTGGGTGAACACTATGCAACCTCTCCTTTGTGGCTGCTGGTTTCAATCTTCTTTAATACAGCAATACTGTTCTCTGATGTTTCTCCAAGTTCTTCCCTAGGCTCCCCCACTCATTTCAGGCGCTCTCCAGCTCTCTGTAGCACTCCTCCCACACCCTGATCTTTTGATATGGTTGATTGGAAATTTCTCTGCAAAATATGCTTTCTTCTTTTTCTGCGTCAAGAAAGGAAATTTTCACCAAAATGGCATTTTTTTTAAAAATGGAAAATGGTCTCAAAACTAAATGTATTTAGCCAGCTGAATTATTTTTTCTGATCATACCAAATAGAAACATTCTGTTGCGGATAAATTGCACATTAATTTGTCTTCCCCTGAGCTCCCTCGCAGAGATTGTGGCTCAGGTACCTTCAGCTTGCAATCCCCTATGGGCTGCAGCCCCAGCACCTTTGCACATACCAGCCTCTGCTCTGGTGAATGAAAGGTATCCAGCCCCTGTATAAGTCCCTGAATACAAAATTTAAAAGACCTAGGAATACATAATCTGATGGCAGCGAGAGAGTCAGCATTTCTTCTAGTCTCAGCACAGAATGAAACAACTGGCTTCACACTTGCATTGCTTTAAAGTTATTAGGGTGCAGCATATGGCTTTTCTTGGCCCTGAGCAATTGCACATAGGAGAAGAAATCTATTTAGGAGGGATGAAAACATTTTTTCTTAAAGTCTTTAATGTATACAGAGAATAAGGGAACGAGGATAGTTCTAAGGTGTAACCAGTTGGGATAAGGTATGTAACACTTCAGGGTGAGTAAGGGGATTTCTTGGATATATGAGCTGCAAGAAAGAAGCAAGGAGCTGGTGCTGTGAGGAGACAGGAAAGGTGACAGTGTGGAAATCCTGGTGTGGGAGGAAGTGATTTCAAAATGGCAGTTTTATGGGCACCCAGAGTACTGGCTGTGCCAAGCACTTAGGCTGACTCCCCTTGGATAGGTAGGTCCTTTCTGTCTCAGCCAGGCAATTATAGTTCTGGCATCTTGGGTAGTCTCTGAGCTCAAGAAGATTTATTGTTTTTACTGCAAAGTGAGCTGCGTAAGATGATGACTTTTGCAAAGGAAGTTTTTTACAACCGAGGAAGGTTGTAAAACTCTTGACAAATTTTACATGTAAAATGTAATTGCACAAACAATGTATTAGATAATTCAATACACATGATCCATAGTCACATATGTATTACAATTTAATTTTAATCTGGAGAATTTACCTGTGTGAGAGACTGTCGAATCAAAACCGTTATAATTTACTGTTTTATTGCAGTATAACAATGGTGAGGTTTCTATAACATGCACATATCTGTTAAAAGACACAAAATCTAACAGGATAGTCAAGAAACTACAGGTCACAGTATATGCATTATGGGCAATGGGCTTATTGAAATAATTGCAAGGGATCCTCTCTAAATCAGTGGCCTTGGGTTAAAAATGAAAAATTCCCAACTTCCTTAAAATGCTTATTATAATATCTTTTTGCATACTTCTGGGCATTTCTGTGCATACTGAGCTTATGATATTGCTCCATTTCATATCGAAACCTATCCTTTATGAGGAAAAATCGCAGTACACATGCATGCTTATCTCTCACAAACACAATCCAGAGTTGTAAAAGGGGTCTTGTATCCCTTGGGGGATGTTAAACATTAATAATAATAAGGATATGCAAACAATGACAGCGTCCTTGTTGGATTTACGCACATGTAGCTGAGAGTAAGTACTGAATTAAATGGAGGCTCAAGAAACCTTAAGAAAACCTGAATAAGTGGTTTTTCAAAATATATGAAAGTTAAGCCAGCTAGAAGCAAAACAATATGACCTGGCATCTGCATTCACCACAGTGTTTCTTAGTAGGTGCATGTACCAAAACACACCCAGAAAAACAATAAAACTAGACTGGAATTGGGAATAATTAATATATTATTGACTTTGCGTGTGACCATGTCGTACTTGGAACAACATCATTTAATTGGTAATATGCATTAACTTGCTGTCCAGATTTATTAACAATTGTAAAAATTATAGCTGTTTTCTCTTTTGCCTCCTCTGCTTTGCAGAGAGAGAATTTATCTTGATGACCTCCTCTGACAGTCAACGTTATACAATGACCACGTACGGCATATATAAAGATTACTACTATCACTTGTAATTTATATCCTCCTGTAATGACACTGAGTATCTCAACTGAATGTTTTGAAGTTCACCCATCACTCGACACAACTTCATGGCTAGATGACGTGGACACAGTGTACCCTGCATGAATAAGGAGATGTGGTCCTCATTCCAGAACTATGAACATCAAATGAAGATTCAAAATTATTTGCAACATTTGTATAGAAGAAGAGAGTGTATATTTTCAAGGATTACCTGAGGTTCCAGAAGCAGAAGTGTTTATTTCTGGAGAGACTGTAGAAGAATAAGACGATCCCTTAGTAGATGAATCTTCCGAACTCCCATTTTGTGGCAACTCTGTTGCACTTGCTTGTGTAGCTGGAAATGAGACAGATGTTCAGGTAAGATACGCTTGTCTTAGGCTCTGGACCATCCCTCAGACAAATGAAGATACTTAAGGTCAGAAAGCACTACAGCTTCTGGTAACTGCTTGTCAAGCAATGAACCATCCCTATGGAGTTGCTACTACTGGCATAGTTGAGGCATCTTTAAAGCACATCCTAGCAACAGAAACAGCCTCACACCTGTGCCAGAAGACACCTCAGAGCTCTGACTTGGAAGCCCAAGATAGCTAGACAGTCTTGCACCAAGAGCAACATGAGCAGAAGACAAAAGCTCAACTTATTGCCCTTTGTATATTCTTAATTTGAAAATAGATAAATAAATAAATAAATAAATCAAGCTTCAGCCACAACTGTCACATAATGTGATATTGTATAAAATTTTAGGGATTGTAATTAAGTACGGAGTTAATTATTTAATTCTGGTCTGTTAAGGCCTAGGAAATAATATATCCCTGAAAATTAATATATGAAAAAGTCAAGTGTCTTATTTCTGCTCTCACTCAGCCAATAGAAGATCAAGACCATCTGTGTCAGATTTGCAGCCTAAGGTGAGTCCAAGACAATGGTGCAGGGCACTGCCTGAGCCCAGAGAACTGAAGGTCGCCACATGACTACAAGAAATAATTTAAGCTGTTCCAGCACTGCTGATAATTCCTACGTATACACTCCGACCTCAGCATAACAACAAGCAAGACAGTCCCTACTGAATAATACATGGGGTGCCCAAGAGTAACCTTATACTTCCTTTCTGATATAAATCAGAGATGCGACTGAGCTGTAAGCTGTTTTCAGTGCCCCTTCATATGAATTTCAAACACTGGAATTAAAATGACTTTAAGACATGTTTTAGTCAGAGAGCAACATCACGCACACGCAATGTGTAAATCTTGAGGAATGCTTCATCACACGCTTTATTCAGAAACTCTGATTTCCAGTTTGGGCCCTCAAAGAACCCTTTGTTTGGGGAAAAAAACCTCTGACAAGCTCCTTATTTGACCACTACACACCTTCAACTCGGCCCTTCCCTTCCCCTCTTGCTTATTAAGTGCAATACCTTGGAAAGGCAAGCTTCAAAAATCAGTGAGCTAAGAAAGAGTGAGCTGAAGGTGTTAGAGTCAGGGGATTCATATAACTTTGGAAACTGAGAGAAGCTAGGCAGCCAGAGGTGGTATCTTTCAAGGCTGAGGCATGGAAATTATGCAAAACAAGCTTAAGCCTAAAACTTTCACTGGGATTCTAGTAACAAGAAGCATAACTTCACATCAGCTCCCTTCAGAAACCTCAGCATTGTAACCCTTCAATATGCAAGCGTGACCTGCAGTAGAGGTGAGTGTAAAAAGCCCCTCTAACTCATTTTTCACTATAGTATAATGCAAGGATCTGAAAACTTTAATAATTTCTGCATTCTTGTCATAGAAGCCTTGAATGAATCTTTAAGAGCAAACTTTTTCCACTTTCGATTCTTACTGTGGTTGCTTCAAACTCAAATTTTATATGTTGAATTTTAATCTGAGATCAATTTTAAAAGAAGCAAAACACCCAGAGTACCTCCCTCTCCCTTTGAGATGCACAGGCTTGTAACTGTAAGAGCAACCATCTTGTGGCACCCTTGTCATAAGTTACTAAAAGCTTGCATGGGAGAATGAAAAGTAAGTAAGAACAACAGTAAGCCTTCATGTGCAGAGACATTAGAACATGAATATGTTTTGTGAACAACGAAGCAAAACAATCAGGTGTGTGGGAGAGATGAGGAGGGAGGCAGCCAGTTGCCCTGTAACCCTATAGAGGACTGTTTTCCCGTGAGGATCACTCGTTCCAGGCATCCTATCAGTCCTGGCAGCAGCCCAGCCCCGGGGTGCTCCTCTTGTGTTTGGGAGCTGCGAGAACAGATTGTTCTCAGAACATGGGCTGTGCGCTAATGTCATGGTTTAAGCCTCGGCAGGGGGTCGGGAGGGGAGGGGTGACAGCATTTCCACTTTATTTCCTTTAATTCAGCCTGGGTGAGATTCTTCCAGTGACTCAGGTAACACCAGATACGACTCACACCTTTACCTAGGGCTTGGCATGAAGCTTGTTGCATTTATTTCATCAGACTGCAGAACAGGCTCAGTGCTCCTGGTGTCAAAGAGTGAAGTAGATGTGCTACAGTGCAAAAATCCGTGTGCCAGTTTTCACTTTCCCAAGATGAAAAACGCAATCTGCTGGGTAAGGTTCCCTTAATTCCACTGTATCGATGTAAGATGAAATCCTAGCAACCCAATTCTCTGCTGACTTGTGGCTTTGAAGCAGCTTTTAAGCAGCATCCAAGCCTTACGCCTAATACACAGCCTAGGCTCTACCACCAACACATATAGCAGATCAGACAGCTTCTGCACCAAAAGCCTGTGGGAACAGAAGCGTCCATATCCAACCACTGCTCACGCACGCAACAACAGCACTGACAGCACAGTACGCCTGCTAGAAATCTGCCTTTTTGGTAAATCCTGTAACTCATATCTATGCAAGGTTTAATTTGATCTCAACTGCAGGAGACAGCGCAAGCCCTCACTGCGGTGCCCGTGCTCCGCGCGGGAACAGGCGGGGGACTCTGTGCGGGCGCGCCGTGACTCAGTTCTGTCATCCCCACTGACACATCGCTGCAGTAATTCATCACGCTTCAGCTCAGCCAGCTGCAGCAAAGATTCCTGCCTGCTGCCAGGGGGAGGCCTGGGCTCGCAGAAAAGCAGCACAGTGCAGAAGGGCGGCTGCTGCTGCTGCTGCTGCAAAAGCACTCGCCTCATGGGTTAATGGATTTGTTGTCAACAGCTGATTATGAATAAAAACGGTAAAGCAGTAAAGACTGTAAAATAGCTGTCCAAATGAGGATGATTGCTGCAGCAGCAGAACTCTCTGGTGGAGATGCAGCTCTCCCTGCTGATATTTTGATAAAATAAACGACAGTGTGTTAACACATATTTGGCAAAGGGATAATCAACAACAGGGAACCTGAAGCTGCTTGACAAAGCTGCTGTTTGAGCTTCAGATATTTCCTTACTCTTTGTGCTCTGAAAACCCTTCATTTTCTTTAACCAGCTGAAATTCAACACATATTCTCTCTTGATCTTAGCATGATTTTCTACTTAACCTATGTATAATCCACACATATTTTGGCATTTCCCCACAGTACTTTAAATTTTCTTTACAGCAAGCTGTTACCTAACTAATTTTGACATTGTAATATGCTTGAAGCAAGCTACAAATACTCTATGCACTGCAAAGAATATAGACATCTGTATGCGTGTTAAAACGTTAAGTGACCAATAAATGAATCAAGGAAACACAGGGCAAAAGGAACAGCACCCAAACCATGTTAAAATGCCATCATGAGGGCTTTGTTAGATGAAGACTAAAACTTCTCCCTTCAGCTCATATTTTTAGCATAAACACACAGGCCTTGCCCCTGTAATCAGTAGCCTGAAAAGCCATTTGAATTAATGAATACATTCATGAAAGTTTTGAAAAATCCAATTGTAGCAAAACCAATTACATTTTTACCCATTTAGAGGAATGAAAATTGGCTAGGGAGGTAACCAAGCAGATCTCAGTTTTAATGTTTACACCCATAGTTGATTGCATCTGCTGTTTGCAGCTTTATGTTTTCTGGTAAGAAAAAGCCCCAAATATATAAAAATACATATTTTAAAACTTCTTTTTGCCTAACATATCTCAGCAGCCAACTATACTCGGCGTTTACCTGTAGCATGTGATAACAATCTGAGGAAAACTGAGCAATACATGTTAGTATAACCCTCTTCTGGTAGTGTTACCGAAGTAAAGCTTCCTTTTTAATTACCAGTAGTTCGATAAAGAGAGAAAAAGGATCTCCTCCACTCTTTCCTTTCCTCACTTTTAAATATTTAATATCTAATTGCACTGTGATGTATCATCATCCAGGACAGTGGCATGAGATAACTCAGAAACACAACAGTCAAAAATCCACTCTTAGTAGTAACTTAATAACTTGAGCCCTGACCTTGCACAAGATGCTTGCTCCATATCCAAGGGAGGAAGAATAGAAACTTTTGTTGCATTTCATTTTGTATTCTCTTTGATAACTTCAAGTGTCCCAGGATATGAAATCTTGATTGCAGATGCAACTTTCTGTGGTGTGACACCACATAAATTCTTGGGTTTGGGCCTGAACTGCACAAGTGAGGTCATTCTGGCAAAATGTGAAATCTTGGATTTGACACCTTATACTGATAAATAAAAAGGTTAAGGAGACCAATCTACTGCTGGCTTCCATTAAAATAAACCAAGCAGGAGGGCTAAGAAGGAGAGACTGTACTTATGGCCTGCAGAGGAAAAGAACACTGAAAAAAAAAGACAAAGACTTTTGCATGATTTCACAGTGTATGGAGCACTGGAGACTTTTCCTGAATCTATAATAAAAGGTGACAGCAGCCACAGAAATTGCAGCAGAGACAGGAAGCCCTGTCACATCTTTGCTGTGTGAATGTGATCATTTGCTGAAGCTTTTAGCAGAGATTGAAGCAGAGAAAGTGATGACTTTCATTACAAAACAACAGAGGCGCCTGCTTTTTATTAAAAAATCAGGTGTAGTAAAAGTAAATTTTGTACTGCCATAAAGGCACCACCAATTTCTGGCTCAGTCTCATACAGTCAGTGCAAAAAGGGGGAGAAGTGAGTGACAGTGAAAAAGAAAAAGACAGAGTAGCCAACTTTCATCTCCTGTCCATTTTGAGAGCAGAAATCTTGCTGTGCCTATGCTTGTTTCAGGGAGCACAACTCCCTCCTCCCTGTGCTGTTGCTGGGGGCGCCGACAGGGGCTGGGAGGATGCAGTGAAGCCAGGGGCACCTCGCTGTGCCAATGTGTGGGCAGGAAACAGAGAGATGCCTGTAGCCAGCAGCCACACAGTGGCTGGGGGGTCTGTGGGTTTTCTGCAAGGCTGGCCACACATCTGCACAGCCCTTGTGCTATGCCCTGTTCCAAAACTAAAACCTTGTGCCCCATCCACTCCTTTGCGCTGAAGCCAAGGCTATGACCTTCTTGAAACGTAGACCAGAATTTTATCTTAAAAAACCACTAAAATTGGTTTTCACATACACATATTTCCAAACACTACTGTAACATTAAAAGAATATATTAAGTTCTTTAATGCTGGGCAGTTGCCAGTGTCCTGGACACACTGTCCCAGTTTTCCTTTATACAAAGGCAATTGAGAGGCAGGTAATCCCTGCTTTTAGGTTAATTTATCAACCATTTTTTATCACAAGATTTGGGGGATTTTTTTAGCTTAAATGAGGAGTTTTAAAAACAAATCACAATGCAAGCAACTAGGGACTGAACTCTAGTTACTGGGAAAAGAATACAAGAGGAATGGAAAGGAAGCACGTTGGTGAAAGCTTCTTGCTTGGAACCCATCATATCTCCAGTGCCATTGTACCCCCAGCACCAGTTTTTCAGTGCAGAGCAATGGTTGGAGTGAAGGTGCACTGGCAGGCATGCCTTTCCTCATTAGCTTCCCTTCCCCTGCCGAGAGCTCTACCTGTCACCAAGGTTTAGTTCCAGGTGGCTGTGCTGCTCCGGTACCCACAAGCCAGGAATTTCTGCCAAACTGAAAAGACTAGGAATTGTATCCATAACGCAGTGCACCACGCCTCGGGCTTTTGACAGGCCAGCAGTGTAACAAATGCAAGTCTTAAAAGATTCTCTGTGGCCTTTGGTATCACTTTCAGCACCTTGTGCATTGGCCAGGCTGTATGTGTTTTGTGACTCACTGACACCGGCATTTAAAAGCCAAGATAAAAACCAAAAGATTTTGGGCTGACAATCAGACTACTCCTTACACAAAGCACAGCAGGAAACCTGCACCAGTAGAAGATGAAACCACTAAGTGAAAGGGGAATAGCTCTTCAGGTAGCTTAGCAGGCTTGGGTCTATGAGGGGTGGCTTTAAAGGAAAATTTGCACAAAGAAAGCATGCAGGCTGCTACACAGGAGTCTCTTTTTAGGCAAGTAAGCCAAGGGAAGAGAAGTCACATTCTAATCATTAGTCACAGTTCAGTATGCTGTAAACATCAATTCTGAGAGCACTGGTGTACTGAGGTAAATATTTGGAGTATTTTTTTAATTTTTTAGTAAATTAAATATAAAAAATGGAGTATTTCAAAACTATAGTTCATCAAAAGACTGAAGCAAAAATTTACAGTGCAGTTAATGGACAAAAAACGAGACTTAATTTCATCTTAAGTGTATTGAGCTCCTTTTGGATGTTATTATATTGTTTAAATGAATCCAACTACTTGCTGGATAATGTGTTTCAGTTTTTATTTAATTTTATTTTATTTTACTAAAATCCAATCTGATGTTCCAGCCAACACACACATTATTCTGAAGATTTATGGGTAACAAAACTGTTTCCTGTGATTGATGCGGAGTAATTAGTATCACCTCTCTGCTTTCAGTACGATGACTCATAATAATATGGCACATAATTAACTGTAGTATTGTAACATATATAAACATAAAAAACAAAGGGGGCTATTCTGACACTATTCTGATCACACAGAATAATTTTTTTTTATTAAGTACTTATAAAAAAACAAACAAAGAAGAAAAAAAATTAAGACCTTTTCAAATACATCTCTCCCAATTATAAGGAGATTAAAATCCTGTGCAATGGCTTCAGATCATTGCAAATTTAAGGTGCCATGTTCTTTGTGTAAGATTCTAGGGCAAGATTCATTAAAGATATTTAATATGGTAGGATTAGTAGCTCTGCTTCCCTAGACCACCAAATTCAAAACCCAAACCAATCTTTTTTACCTCCTTTTACTTCTCCACACTGTTTTATAGAAATGTAGCATAGAATGAATCAGAAATGGCTCAATGAAATTATCACTTACGGTTTATTGTGCTGAAACTTTCATTTGGTGTTGTAGTTGTCACTTTTAGCACTGCTTGTGTTGTTGTATCTTGTGTTATACCTTGTGTAGCATTCGACAAAGAAGACATGGATGCTAACAAAGGAAAGACATTCAATTTATTTCCTTTAGTTTTGTATACACACATATACACACACACAAAACACACCTATTTCCCCGCTTGAAGTCTAATTTTAAATTATCAAAAGTATATTTAATTTAAATTGAAGATCAACAGGGATAGGACTCCATTCACTGCAGAGGAAGCCACTCCCTGTCCCATAGGTTGGTCATCCCACTGAAGACAAGCGGTAATACAGTTAGAAGTCCTAGACTGGAGCTGCCTGGAGCCTGATGGGGAGGAAGCTCCTGCACACTCCTACAAGGTTTCAACAAAGGGTTCACTATCCCAGAACAAGAGGCACCGCTGCTTAGTTTCCTGAATGCCCACTGGAACACCATCAACAACTAACTGAGAGCAATTTTCGCTTACTGTTTGTGATGGATTCAGTTGTAGCTCCAATTGCAGTTGTTGTTGGCACTGACGCTTGCGATGGTGTTACTTGTGAAGTTGATGTCTTCATAGATTCTGTTACTGCAAGAAAGGCATTCACATCTTAATTGATCTATTTTATCATGCATAAACAAACATCACATACCTCCAGCTGCATTCTCTCACCAAGCAGTGAATTTCTGTTTTAAGTCTCACCCTTACAGAGTTTTCTTACCCATTTTTGAAGAGGATTCAAAGGGTATATGGTTGGTTTCAGAGGGGAGGTTTGGCCTGTGAACAATCTGCAAGTTGCCTACTGAAAATTAGCAGCTGTATCTACCAGCCAGCTCCTAAAGGAGAGGTGCTTGATATGACTTCCAAGGGAAGAGGTGAGGGGAAAGGAGCCTGGTGTAGATGGATGAGTTCACTGTACTGGACTACACCTCTGACCAGCCCTTTGCTGCATACCTGTTTATAAGGAGGAGGGATGTAAAATCCCCATAAAGAATTGGGAGTGACACACGGGAGCACAGTTTATAGGTCCCAGGTAAAGAGCTGAAGGGGAAGAGACTCTACTAGTCTTTTTGCAATTTTCCCCTCTCTCTGCTTGTCCACCTTGAGCCATATTCAAGTCTTCATCATTGGCCAGTTTTCCTAGATCCTCTTCCTCTGCACCCAGATTTCTGAGGAAAAAAGGGCACCCAGCAGGCCTTCCTCTTTGGAGTGCAGCAAAGCTTAGGAGATTGTGCACGGTATTAATAGTATTCTCTAGTAAGTGATATTCCTTGGGGTGAACTCGGTGGCCTTTTTATGATGACTCCTAGTTCTCTCCTCCAGAGGAGTGAGACTTGGAGGCTAAGGGGAGGGGAAAGGGCTGCTGCTGGTATGGAAATACGGGGACAGAGTTGTCCAAACATGACTAAGGCAATAGTAAGGTTTAAATCAGTGTCTCTTGCTGTGCACGGATGGCATACTGCAGGTCCCATGTGGCCCAGGCACTTGCTCAAGGGAACGGACTGACTAAAATACTGCCAGGGATTCTGGACTAAACAAAACTCTGTAACTAATAATTTTGAGAGTCCAGCTTTCAATTCTGTAATCTAATGCAAACAGAAAGTGCTACAGGTGCTCATTTAAATACCTACAACTACTACTTCTACCTACCTACTACCTCCTCTAGCACTTTTAATGGATGGGATACATGAAAGAATAGGAACAAATGTCATGTAATTTTCTCTCATAGGACTTTATTACGTCTAAATGCAATGTTCACACCAGAACTTTTAAAATACATCTTATAGTCTCTTTCTCTGCTCTCAGTTTTCTGGCTGTTCACCTAGAATAAGCAGTGCCTCAAAGAATGGACCTCCTTGCTCCACACTCACAAATTTCTTTAGTCTCACAGTGGGTTTCGGATGCTTTTCTCATGGGCATAAGTAACAATGCTGCTTTCCCTTCTGCGACAAAAAGCTGCAAGAGAAATTTCAGTGAAACATTCAAAGGGTTCATTCACTGTGAGGTGTTTGGCCTTTATGGAATGCCTTTGAAACAGACACGAACATCATGGTATTTGAAACATAAAAGAGCTGCAACACAATTTGAAAAGGACTAATTCTTCTGCTGTAATAAACATAACATTAGGCATACTTCACCCGGTTGTATCTTATTCACTTGCATTACTTGCATGTCAAGTGTATACTTCATAATCTCAGTGCTTTCAGCTCCACAGCAGACTCATTAGTATCTCTAGTTATCAAAAATTAGAATACCATGTTCATGTTTTCTTCTCTCACATGCATCACTCATTAAATGCAGCAGTCTTCAATATTGAGACTAATAAAGGAGTTGATATTTAGCTCACACGAATGACTCATGGCCAATATTGATTTTTCATAACTTTCCATAACAAAGATGCACAATAAAGAAAACTGAATGTGTCAGTTAAAGATGTAAATCAGAATCCCAGACTTTTACTATCCGAAGCAGGTGTTTTCTCTGTTAGGTCTACATCGTTTTAGTACTTGAAGTTTGATCTAGTTAAATCAATCCCAAAAAAAAGAGAGACCGAATGGAGCTTTTGAAATTGAGGGCATTGGTGCCATCCTCTTATCCTGAAATGTGAATCTTGACATCAACAGTTTCAAGAAGTTATCAGCAGCATTTCTGCAAATGACAGGTTCATGCAGATGTAATCTCGTCTATCAGCTGAGGCCCAGCATTGGCATGTAGTGGGTATTTCTTTACTATCAAAGTCCACCTTCCTCTTCTGTCATTCTACATCCATCAAATCAGCTACTTCCTGCTGCCACATGTCTTAATTGATGCTGTTACCCAAATCATTCTCAATTTGATAACTTCTTGAACTGTCAGTCTTTGGTAATTTATTAATATCCAATTTCACTTGAACCACTCTTGAGCGTATAGGAACTCACAGAATTTCAACCTTTTTCACCTGAAACAAAAAATGTAGCCCACTCAAACCAACTGTCTCTGTACTAAGATACTTCAATCCTTTCTTTGCAACAGTGTTTCATAATCACCCTACATGAAATAATTCACCTGATTTCTCTCTCAAGTTGGAAAAGCTGAAAACTAAAAAAGCAGGGGCTTCAGAACACCAGATAAGGGTGAATTTGAACTCTTACCGGATTTTGATCCTGATGCAGAAATGGTTGAACTGAGAGTAGGGGTTGGAATGCCATCTTCTGAAATAAGCACAGAAAGAGTCATATTAATTCTGCCACCTTCCAGATCTATTTAGCACTACATAGTCATATTAGCAGAGAGCAGCAAGACCCTTCCTGGAAAATCAAGTTCAGAAACCTATTAGCAGAAGCAACTACATCACATAACTCTACGAAAATCTTTTCATGCTGTATCCTAAATCTCTTCATTTTGCCTTCACTGCTGTAATGTGGAGCATTTTCTACTGCCTCCCACCTTGGACTGCACATTGTTTTCCAACAGGTGTCTCCAAGGCTAGTTTGAGGGGAAAAATGGAGCTATTAAAAGTCTTTCTTTATCTCCTCCTCTCCTTGAGTACAACCACTTCTGCTCTGAGTCTTCAGGATGGAGGATTACCTAAAATAACTGTCCACAGGAGAAAGCATCCATTCTCCTGCCTTGAAATAATAAAATTGTACTAGCTCCCTGGCTAGTATAAGCAGTTCAGGAAGTGTTTTCAACAACCCCTTGGTCCCTATATGTGAGAGAAAAAGGAGAATTCATAAAACATGGCTTGAGAAGCACCAGGCTGAGTAATGACTGGCTTTCCCCACTGCCCTGAAGGCAGTGCTTCAGCTATTGGGATTTTACTGCAGTAAATTATGCCAGTCTTAAAAATTCCAGGTCAAGTTAGTAGGTGGGTCTTCAATATTACAAAACAAACAAACCATCCAAAAAAGAGACCCCAACAAACAAAAAGCAAAATAATTTCTGTATTTTCTGACTGTACTGAAAGGTTGTTGGCTTCGAACAAGATTTTCAGTCTTATTGCTGGTTTGTCCATGATTTTCTACTAAAAGAAGTTAGGGGGTGATGAAGGGGGTGAAAAAACTACATTGACTCAGAAGCAGCGGCATTTCTCAACCATTTTACACTGCTGTGAGACAAGTATGGGTACAGTTGGGGAGGACTAGATCAACTCTGTAACTGAATGGGAGAGGAAAATGGCACAGACTAATCCCCTAGTGCTTTCAGGTTTGAAGCGTGACATCCTGTCATGCTACATTAGCATCCTGTAATACAGACATCGCAAAACTGAGTCAGGACAGCATGTCACTATTCTTCTGTGACTCCATTCATGGTAATATCTGCTGGCATTCTCTCTTTTTTTTGGCTACAGGGCAGAACAGTCAGTTGTGTTCCCTTTGCTCAGTGTGCTGCGCTCCGATTAACATTTCACGACCAGCACCCAAGGCCTGCCGGAGTCACAGATCTAACCTGGAAAAAAACCCAGCATAATACAATTGCAGGGGCTCTGCAGGAATATATTAAAGTCTAATCAGATGAGCCCTTACAACTTCTCTTCCAGCAGTGTATTTTCAGCCCTCTTGGCACCTGCATGTTTCTAAGGGGTCTCAGCCCGTTCTCAGTGAGCCCCAGTTCCTTGAGTATTTTTCTAGGGATGCTGCTGCCTTCATAATGCCTCGTCACAGCACACGCTGGGCCAGCTTGTTGTGAGCATGTCCTACACAAAGTTAAATGTCTCCCCTACGGGCCTGCTGCTGCCCCAGCTCTACTCCCCAGAACACATGGATACACTCTGACTATGCACAGTCTCTTGCACACTCCATTTAAAATATAGATTTTCCTGCCATTTAGTTCCCCAGTCAGAATAATGCTTCATAACCCACACATGAAATACTTGGAAAAAAAAGTTTTATCCAAAGAGACCTAAAGGCAATCTTGTTTCCCTAAACATCAAGCATTTTTCCATCTCTTCATTCTCATTATGTGCTGCTGACAAAGCTCCTCTAATCCTCCACACCACAAGGCCACAGCACTAGAACAGAATGTTTTTTCAACAGTGCCTACATTTCATATGGTTTTGTTTTAACATCTCTCAGTAGCTACCATATCTGTAACACCAGCTAAATGCACTAGCTGGCCAATTAGCTCATTCCTGAACTCATTTTTCTCAAAACTCTTCCCCTAACTCAGCATGACTTTCTGGGAAGCCCATTGAAATACTTAGATTATTCATCCTTTAAAGATGTTCCATTTAATAACCATGTTGATAGGCCAAGCTTTCCTCAAAACTAAAAAAAAAGGGAATTTAAGGCACAGTTTTGTTATGACTCACTATTTGCTGATTTCATCACAGGTTAGAGATAAACTAAGGTAAATTCAATTAGCAGAGTATAATAAAGTAGAGTTTTATGAATTAATTTTTTTCTTAAAAAGGTGAATAATTAAATATACTTCAAAAATAAGTTGAAAGCAACATGCAAAAGACAGGATTGTGGGGGGAGAACTGGTTGATTAAAAGAAATGATAGAACTCGTGGCTTATTATGCTCTTATTTGCAATGTTAAGTTGTGACTAAGGAGAATCCTATGGGAGATAAAAGCAAGAGATCAAAAATGATCAAGAAAAGAATTTTCACCCAATAGAGACTGTTGTTAGACAAAGAGTGAGACAGAAAGCTTCATTTTTCTGCTCGTGTCAGGTTGCCTGCAGCCTCAGGTGATGGACAACTAAGTAAAGTTATAATTGCATGTTTTTTAGTAAATTTAGATGCAATGATCCCTTTGATATGAGAGTTCCTTGATATACTCTGATGTGGGAGCAGCCAAAATCTATGCAGCAATTTCTCCCACATAGAAACTGCTGCCATTTGTTGTGCTCACTGGCAAGAAACTCAGCTAAAAGGGCATAGGTGACCTGTGATGTCTGGAGAACATGCAAGGAGCTAAAAGGTGCTCACATACCACACTGGGCTGATTAAAGGGATGATGGTGGTAGTGCTAAGATTGACAAAGAAAAAATAACATGCCTTGGAGCAGATACCAAGGCAAGAAGAACTCAGAACTGGGAGAAAGATAACAGGATAGGAAGATGAGAGGGGAGGAGCAGAAAGGTCTAGAGACAGTAAGACAGTCAGGGTGGCAGGGAAAAATGAGAAGGATCTAAGAAGAGATCAAAGAACACTTGACACATGGCCATAAGACAAAACTGAAAAGAGAGTAACTGTTGTGGTTTTGTTGGTGTTTTTGGTGGTCCCTCCCTCCTCCCCCCCCAGGTTCACAGAATTTCCATTTATTGTTTTTCTGACTTGGATTTAAATAGTATATTTGTTCTAAAATGAAATCAACAGTACAATCATTTGTATCTGGTCTTAAGATTTCTAAATGGACAAACTGAACCACTGAACTTACTATCTTCTTTTAAATTCAGAAGGAGTCTTTGAATTTAGACAGGGCTGACCAACAGCCACAGTTGTCCTCAAACTGCAGCTTTTGATGCAGGCTTCAGCCTCCAAGGTCTGAGCTTGGAGTTCTCATAATTCCTTACCTCTCTCTCTCATTATTTTTGCCTTTACACTGGGAAGACTAAGATAAGCGGGCTCTGACCTTGTGTTAATTAGGGGCCTGTTATTGCTATAATCAAGACAGAAAAAAAAGAAATGACTGCATGATATTAAATCAGTAGTTCTGTTTATATCCTACAGGATACTACAGGGCACAAACCACTAAGTTTAAAACACCACATGAAACAGATAACACAAAACTGAACGCGAAAGCAAAAACATTTTTAAAGATTAATAGATTGATCAAAGTAGATATGGATTATATTCATTACATGAATTACTGAATTTAAGTGCTGTCTGGTTTGGCATCAATATCTGATTTTGAAAAGACATTATTTTTATGGAAAACTCACTATAATTACAGAAATAGCAAGTGAAATGGCCTGTTTGGCATTTTTTCACTTGACCTTGCACTAGGTAGACAAAAGCATTTCATTGAAATCCTTCTGTTCAGAAGGACCAAGTTACTTGGTCCAGCTTCAGAAGGGTTTTAAGAAGGGTGTGGATTCATGGAGGTGGGGAGTTTTTGGATAACCATAAAAATCATCAGGAGCCTCAAGAAAAATAACTGCTCAGGAAGGACCGCAAAAATTGCATTTGTTTAGTATAGAGACAGAAAGATTAATGGAAGGCACAACAACAGCAGTCAGCAGGTGAGGGGCTGCAGCAAAGACAAAGGACTATAATTATTATTATTATAACATCCACTGAGGATGAAATGAGAGGCAATGGACAAGGAAAATTTGAACTGTAAACTCCGCAGGTTTTTTGGTGCCTGTGTCAAGCTGTCGGTGTAACAGCCAAAAACTGGTATTTTAACCGTTTTGCTGATAAGGATGTAATACGTTCCCACTCAAAACCAGACCACTGCCCAACAGGCTGTAGTTAGGAGCAATTACCAAAGAGGTGTCCTGAAGAAACCTGTACATGTTAGTTCCCTGCTTCAAGGCTATAAAGCAGAATTTACAATTGGTGTTTTTATATCATGTTTGTTTACTGTATATTATCATAGAATGGTTTGGTTTGGAAGGGACCTTAAAGACCATCTAGTTCCAACTTCCCTGCTGTTTGCATGGATGCCTTCCACTAAAACAGTTTGCTCAGAGCTCTATCCAGCCTGGCCTTGAACACTTCCAAGTATGAGACATCCACATCTTCTCTGGGCAAACTGTTCCAATACCTCACCAGCCTCACAGTAAAGAATTTCTTCCTTATATCTAATTTAAACCTACTCCCTTTCAGGATGTTATATTATGGTTGGTTGTGTGACCCCGGGTCTTTGCAATGGCATACAAGCCATGGAGAGGTCAAAGCTGTGTTTTTGCTTTCTGTCTTACCATGCCATCAGAAATAAATAGTGATCTCTTTCCAGCAAATGGTAATTCTGCCAGCCCTTATGACCATGATAGAGCCTCCTGTAACAGCTGCTCCAGCAGTACCCATGTAAAGACTGTACAATTCATCGAATGTTTTACCCTTTGTGGAAAAAGTTATAGCTGTCCTTGTAAGAAAATCTGGCACTAATCTTCTCAGAGTTCCCAAGAAATAGCTGCTACCTGACAACGTGCACAACCTGTTTACTCTTACCTTGGAGCTCTGTTGTCTACTATGTTTTCTCTTTCATTTTTATTTATTGCTGCTTCATCTCTTCATTCTCCTATCTGATCTTTCCCC